ATCGTTTTTAGGATTAACCAATTTCTATAACAGATATCTACTGCAATTTAGTAACTTTGTGGAACCATTTAGCAAATAAGGAAGAAGTATACAGAGTTTCAATGGACAAAAAGACAGGAGGTTGCTTTTGAGAAATTAAAAAAGGCACACATAAACAAACCAGTTGTTAAAATTTTTGACCCAGTGAAAGAATTGACGTTAACTAGTGATGCCAGTGACTGACTGCCAGTGCCACATTATTGTCGCAGGAGGATCACACTGTAATGTACTTATCCAGAAAACTAACATTAGTGGAGGCAAATTATTCAAATATTGAGAAAGAGCCATTGGATCTGATCATAAGCCTTTGGAATTTATATTCAACTCCAGAATAGAGTTGTCAAAAGTCACATCTGCCAGGATATTAAGATGTGCAATTAAACTTGTGGTGTTCAACTCTGACATCATATACTAAAGGAAATACAATTCTGTATGTGGATGCATTACCTCAGTTAAATTTTAAGAGTAAAAATGTTGAAGCAAGTAAAAATTGTGTGGATAGGACATTGCACTGGATAGAAACTGATGTATTACTCTTAAATCAGCTTAAGTTGGGAACTAGGCAGGATCCAGTGTTGAATAGAATTATGGATATAATAAAGAGAAATACATGGAGTAATTGCTCTATGGCTGAGAAGTTGTATAAAGAGTCAAGATACAAATTAACAATGCAAAAATGAATTATATGTAATGGATATATAATAGTACTTCCACAGACTCAAAGAAAAGAAGTAATTAAACCTGTGAACAATGATATACATGGAGGTATATTTACTATGCAAATGAGGTTAAAGTTGCAAGCATGGTGGCTAGGCTATTTGAGAGACATGGAAGAGCATGTTAAAAAATGCCCAAAGTGTGCAGAAATAAAGAAATTTAAGCAAACTAAAATTCACACTTGGCCAAAAGAAATGGAGCCATGGACATGAGTACATATGGATCATGCCTACATTAATGGTATAGGACTATTTCTGATATTAGTCAACTCATATGCAGGTTGGCCTGATGGTATTAATGTCACAGATAAAAAAAATCCACTACCATGAAGCAGGTGTTGAGGATAGGGTTTTCAAGAAATGGAGTTCCAAAAACCTTGGACTCTGACAATGCACTTGAGTTTTGAGAAGAAAGGTTATGCCCATGGTTAAAACATATTGGCTGCATTCAATACAAAACACTACCTTACCACAGTCAAATAGAATTGCAGAGAGAATGGTTCAGACCATAAAAATGGGATTAAAAGCATTCTCTCCAGTGGTTTGTGATATAGAGAGTTATTTCCAGACTACTCCTAAGTTATAGAGTTATTGTGCATGCAGGCATAAGACAAAATCCATCTGCATTGATAGGAAGACAAATAAGAGTTCCAATTACCATGTCATTTGCAACAAATGAAAGTGTTTGATACAGAAAGGACAAGGATTCAAGTCCTGAAAAGGCAAATTTTGTGGTGCAAAAGGGATTTAACACATCTGTTTTAACAAAGAATAGGCAGAGCATAGTGGCTCATGAAGACCAATTTAGAACCACAAGAGAGTATGAAGTTATGGAAAAGAAGGAGTAAGAGGAAGCAGAAGAACAAATGACACAAGAAAGGATGGGTGAATCCAGTATTGAGAGTGATCAGGAAGACCACCAGAGATATGAAAGTGAAGAACATGAGAGGGAGGAGAGAATGAGTGTATCCAATCATAATGAGGAACAATCTGGGGATGAGAGTGACCGGAGATATCATGATGATTCAAATGATTAGAATCAGTTAAGACCTAGATCTCCTATAAAAAGAAATAAAGAGATTCACTCTAAGAGACAGATTATGTTTCCTAGGGCTGTTCATAGAAGTCAAAGATCCACTAAAGGTATAAAACCTCTTAGTTTCAGGGAGGTGTAGTGAAATATAAATGAGGTGCTGTATAAAAGGCAGTATCACTATACTTATGGGAGACTACATCTGTCAGAGAGAATATCTATCATAACAATATTAACTTCCAAGTCATGTTGTGAAAGTAGAAAGCAAGCATTTTCCCTCTCACCCCAACAATTAAGAATAGAATAATTTTGATGAGAAAATTTTCCTTCAGAAAGGTTGTTCATAGAAGCAATTAAAATTGTAATATTAACATTAACACTTAAAATAAAGATTTTGCTCATTTTATTTAAAAATCTTTCTTAAAGTTTTAACAAGTTTTGTCACTCAACTTGTAAATTGTGCATTAAAAATAGAAAAGGATTATCTGAGATTGGGAATTAATTAAAGCGTTACTGAGAAAATAGACCAATTGTATATATAATGTGAATGTGTTTCACTATAGATATGCATTGAAAGTTAAGAAAAAGGAATACTCAGTGGTCAGGAATTAATGCAAGCGTTACTGGCAAGGTTATTGTATGTATAATAATGGTAATGATAATATTATTTGTTTCTTTATAAGGAAACATTTAGTATTCATTGAATGAGCACTTAGACTTGCTGTTAGTTGAAATTTATAAAATCTTTCTCCTAAAACAATTTTTCAGAAAAATATTTTTCTCGAATCTAGTTGCTGTTAATGCCCTTTCTAGTATTCAAATATCATTTTTAACAAAAAAAATTATAAAATCTAACAATTTAATGGTAATGCTATGTCATAATGCTTTCTAACATTTAAATTTCATATGATAACCTTTTTTTGTATAGGACAAGTTTGAAATTTGTTTGGTGTCTATGATTAGTGGATTTTTTTTTATATAGTGTATAGTGAGGGAGGCACGATGGAATAATGGATAGTGGCTTGGATTGTGAAGTCAGAGCCGAGTTCAAATTCCAGTCAAATTCATTACAGTGACTTATGTGCTAATACCCTTGAGAAAGGTATGAATCCTCCTCTTCTCCCCCCAGATATGGGTAAATAACAGGACAGACCAGGTACTATAGCCTTGGATGGTAGCTGGTCTACTGCAGAAGGAAATGGCAAACTACTGCAGGAAAAAATCTGCCTCATCAGTCATGTATTGATAGATACATGATCGCCTAAGCACGTATCACACATGGCACGTAACTGACTGACTGATATAAATATGATATATGTTAATAAATAAACTCAGTGATTTATTTGGCAGTTTATACACAAAATTCAAAGTCAGCTTCAAATATAAGTCCTTTTAACTTTTCTTCTATTAACTACTATTGCTCTAGTTTTCTTAGTGAGCACTTTCTTTACAAAAAGTCTGCTTACCTTTAACTGCATAAAATTCTAGGAAAGCATGTTTTGTTAAGCATTATTGATTTCTGTTATTATTATTATTATTATTGAAAAATTCAGTTCCTAAATTAAATGCAATCATCTTTTTTTTTTTACTTCAATCATGAGATAATATCTGAAATTCCAGCCACAAAAAACCCCACTTCCAACACAAATTCCCACTTAGTCTATAAACTGCACCTCTTGAACTTTTATGGGAGGGGTTCCTTTGCCTAGCCCCCAAAATATTCAAACACAACTGCACCAAACGACCTGTAATCCCTGAAACCATAAATCTGACAAGTGAACTCATTGACATCAATTTTGGGGTCCCCCATTATCATATTTGTTTCACCCATGACCCTTAAAGATGGCATAAAAATATGAGAGACTTAATTTGACAGAAATGTCTCATCTCAGTGAGATTTAATAGACTAAGCTTAGTGGCCGACATTTGTCCAACTACAGAAAAATGTTTTATTAGTTTTCTGAACAATTATGAACAGAAAATGGACAAATTTCTGCCAAATTGGTTGTTTGTCATCAGAATCATAACTTGGGTCTTTTTGGTTTTAGTATCAACACTGAATTTATAAACAGCCCATTTTCTTGATGCAAACAAATATGCAAGTAAAATTCTTTATTATTATTTAACTATCATTATATAGAGAATACATTGAAAGTCACCCCCCCCAAATGTCTTATTTTAAAAGGATTTACAAAATTTATACCAAAATAAAAAGAAAAGTTACTGTTCTCTGAAGTAATGAGATTAAAACCTTTCATTATTCCACACACTATTTGAACAAGCATCTTCATTTTTGTTGTTTTTATAAATTTTAGCCAATATGTTATTTGGCTGTCTTCAGATATATGTTAAATAAACTTATTAATCTATGGTTGAGAAGAAAAAAAGAACAGTACTAAATGATATCAAAATACACTGAGGAGGGATGAAGAACATACTGGCATAAATGCAATGAAAACAATAAAGATGAAAATAAAACTTCAAATAAGAGGATGATTAATAAAAAATGTGAATTAATATTGGTTATAAAATAATGATTTTCTTGTGGCAATTGGCAAATTACAAATTGTATAAAATAATAAAAATTGAAATATTCTTTTCAGGAATGGCTTATCTATTGATAGATTTTATTGTTGCTTCTGGGTTAATACACACTTCATTATTATTACTATAACTTATTATTATTGCCTTTTATTCCAATAGTCTTCATTATTATTATTACTATGATTTTATTAATATTTTTACTCTATCTTATTATTGTTGTTTTTGGCCAAATGCTATTCATTACTACTATTAGTAAGTTTTCTTGAATGGTCATGGCATATATATATATATATATATATATATATATATATATATATATATATATGTATGTATGTATATGAAGAGAGAGAGAGAGAAAGAAAGAAAGAGAGAGAGAGAAAGGGAATGGAGAGAGAGAAAAGGTGATGTAGTTGGATAGTAATTCCCCTTATTTATTTATTTATTTAGTCATTAGCACTAATTTATAATACAATTTTTGTAAAGATAACTTTCTTTGTCAGCTGGTATGTAGGTCTTTCTCAAATCTTTATGTTATATTTAGAAATAAGATGTTACCCATTGACACCATCAAATATTGAATTAACAAATATTTCAGTGACCATTATTAGAACGCTTCCTTGTCACTTATTAAATTAAGTCAATATTTACAAAATAAGGAGATTCTTTACCAAAATGTATCCTCTGTGTTTAGAAAGAGCAAACACATTGCTGCAAAAAAGTTCATTCCTTGGCAATATCCAATTGTTGGGTTGTGTACACAGTAGGCCAGCAGCACATCCCGAAGATCCATTATCTGCAAGAAAAGGAGAAATCCACACAATCAATAAGTGCCATGAAAAAATAAAAATATAAACAGAATTCTAAGGAAAAAGAACTGGTGAGAAGATAGAGCACAAGGAGAAGTGTGTTCATGCCTTTCCCTTAGGTACTAACATAAAGGGAATATGAGCAAACTCAGCAGAAATTTGAACTCAGTTTGCCAATTTTGTTTTCTATATTGATAATCTTTACACCAATTCACACCTCTACCGAAAATACAGGGTAAAGTGGATTTGTGCTTTTTCCCAAAGTGAATATAAATGGCTTAAGCAGAAATTTGAACTCAATTTGCCAATTTTATTTTCTATATTGATAACCATTACTCTAATTCACACCTTCACTGAAGGTATGTATAGAATACAGGGAGAAGTGGATTCATTCCTTTTCTAAAGGCTATAGCACAAAGTGAAAATAAGCAGCCTAACCTGCTATTCTCTTCTGCCGCACTTATGAGGTACACCATTTGGGAACCACCAGCTTAGAATAAAGCTTCTTGCTGCCATAACAATGGATTATTTCATTAGTAAGTAAGGGATATCATAATGCAAAAATTGGCAAGATTGTTTCATACACCTGATAAATTGTTTCAAAATATTTCTTGGTTACTACGCGAGAACAAATATTCTCTGTTGGATTCAAACCTAGCTTCTGAGTAGGCCAAACCATGAAACTGGAAGACTCTTTAGTGGTGTTTGCAGTGTGAGCAAAATAATTGTTTTGTTGAATAATAGTATCTGATGATTCCTCTTTAGAAAACAATTCTTCAATTGTGGGAATCAAGCCTTTTTACAATATTCCACTGTATTCCATAACATTGGCCTTTCACAGTGAAATAACTAACCAGTACAAACAGCTGAATAAGCTTCCTACCGAATGGCACATTCATGCTAAACTGTGGTAAAGAGACATTCTCACCAGACTTTCAAAGACACCTGTCTGGAGAATTACTATTCAGCTGAAATCTTGCTTCACTTCACACAAACCATTTTGAATCACACTTTCTATATTCCACCAAGACCTTCATTATTGTTTATCTAAGAAAAGCAATGGCTGTTTAACATCTAGACACAAATCCTGCATTAGATAGCTGTAAGTCTTGGTGCAGACTTGGATTCTGTTGACAGTTTTTATAGGTGTTTTATTGCCATCTTGAAGAACTAAATTTCAACAGATAGTCATACCTGCATGAAGAGGCTTTGTACTTTCCAGATCCTTTCTTTCTGACAACATACTTGAGGTTTCAAAGCATTGACCTATTCTCTTAATAGGTGAAAGAGATTCAAGGATTTCTTCCACCTTTTTCACTCTAGAAGCCAGTGCAACAACAATGAGTAAACTATGCTGATGACATAAGTGTTCATAGTTGGTATAAATGATTTTGAACAAAAGAACAACATTCTATAACAAGTGTTTGAAGAAGTTCAGATAAACCTTTCCAAAACAGAAACTATGATATGAAATTGGAATGACAGTAGTGAGGGCAACTATTATAAATATATCATACAAATTCAGAATTATGAATTGATAAGTTCTAAACATTTTAAATACCTTAATGTATGACTCAGTTATAAAAAAATTAATAGAGGAAATAAGTTGAACATGGGTTAGGTTGTACTAAGAGTACTTCTTCCAGTGCCATAACATGTTCCAAAAACCAAAATATTAACTTAAAAATTAGATCATGTTCTTAAATAGACATGTGATGTATGGTGTCATCTGTATACAACTATTTTTTCAGATCAGTGGTTAAAAATGACTCCCGATGAACAAATCCTCTTAAAGAAGTTGCTTCTTCATTAGACCCTATACACTGGTGCTACAAAATCACAAAGAACTTTAATAAATAACAAAAACCACATTACTTGAACACTTTCAATAGTAACAGAAACAAAATTGGTAGAAGAGAAAATAAGGATATAATCAAGATGTTAAACTTCCATATTACCATAAGCAAAAGGTTTGAAAGGGAACTTCTATCAATATTAGAAAGAGCTATAAAAATTAGTGAAAATTTACTAAAAAGCTGTTTTAATAAAAAAGATTTTATTCATTTCAAGCTAAACTAATGCTAATTATTTGGTCAATGAATGATGAATGTTTTACACATAGGAATGGTTAGTTTTACCATTTTACCATTTAGGGTCTTGGAAAGTTCAGAATAGATGCAGTTGGGCTGATGAAGACCAGATCTGGTATTAATCTCTGCATGATATTTTCTTTGACTGTGTGACTCACAATAATTGTTGATTTCTTTATTTTATTAATCCTGATTCTGTTTATAAACTTTACAAGATTAATATTTTGCCATTTATCAATCATCCCAATTTTTTAATTTCTTTTTAACCATTTTGCTTTTGGCCAGAAGTGTAGATGTTAGGAAACTAGTGAAACTAGTGAAATTTTCCCATGAACAATTCTTACTTGGTTCTGAATGAACCCTTTAAAGATGCATACATTTTCAGTCTTCTTTAAATAAATGTCTTTCTTGAGTTTTTAATGTCAATGTCTTGTTCATTCCAATTTTCTTGAATACTACAGTGAAATGTTTTTATTCAAATTTACTGTCACCACGTGTTGGCTGACCTCAATATACTCTGTCTCTGTTATGAGAACCTCTTATTTAAACTTTACAATAATGGCCTGATATTTGCCATAAAAGAGGGAATCAAACTATTTCAGTGTGTTTACTGCCATTTATAGAGCAAGTTCATCCTCTTCTTCCCTGTTTTAAGTCTCGGTAATTTTGTTTATATTATAAAGAATAATTATAACAAGTTGGTTTCAATACCATTTACCACTATACACTGAATGTATTGGTTTAAATTATTTATTAATACAATGAGAAACTTGAACTTTGAACAGAGATCATGAGATACTATATATATATATATATATATATATATATATATATACTAATAGTATAACCCGCCTTCGACTGAGTGTTTCATTACTGGGAATTTTTGCCATTCAATTGGAGCTGTTTAAGTCAGCCCACCTGAAAATCAATATTAGTAACAACAACTGGGTTCAGTTGAGGCACATCCCCAAATGAGAAGGTTAACAATTTGAATGGGGATGGCCCTGAAAAGGGCCGTTTTTGCATTCTCAATTTTGCAAGAAAGGAACCTCTTCCATGGACTATCATAATAATAATATACGATAATTTTTATTTATAATATAATTATTTTTTTATAATTCTAATAATCTTTTGTGTTAGATTTCAACTCTCTAAATTGATTGTATGCTGTTTGTTACAGAGATTAAATTGATTTTTGCACAAAGTGTAAAAAATCAGTTGTTTTCAATTTTTCACCTTCAAGATTGTAATTTTTCCAGCGAATTTGGATACAAAACTTGCACTGAAGAATTATCTATCAAATAAAAAAAATTCATCAAAATCGAATGAAAATTGTGGAAACGCATAAACATCTGATCACACTCACACACACACACACATACACATACATATTTTGAGAAATATATATATATATATATATATATATATATATGTGTGTGTGTGTGTGTGTGTCTGTATCTGTGTGTAAAAAAATGACACAAGAGAAAACTGTGTCCTGATGTACTTTATTCAGAAATAACATCTTCAGATGTTCTTTCATAGTAATATATTTCATTGTACTTTTATGAAGAATTTATATTATTATTAATATACTTGTATCTATATATAGTGAATGTCACATTTGGTATCACAGATACTGAAAGAGAAGCAAAAAGAGAAAGAGTATAAAACAGAAAGAGTGAAATGAAGAGAGGAAAAAAGAGAGTGTAACAGAGGGGGATTGCAGGTGGGGGAGTCATCTTAGATAAAGGTTGGTTGGTTGATTTTGTTTAGTGGCATATCAACCTCTATGGGTTATTTAATGCCAAAATCTAAATATTTTAAATGCAATTGTATGCCTTTAATTACAGATAAAATATATTGTTGGTAACTTTACTATAAAAATATATTGTTGGTAATTTTTTATATAAAAATGTATTGCTGGTATTTTTACTAAAAAAATCTATTTTTATACTTTCATAGTGTTTTGTTTTTGTTTAGGGATTCACTATTTGCCTATAACTGGGACCCTAACAGGTGCTACCACCCCAAGTTAGGGTGGTCCTGGGAACAACACCAATTAAGAGGTGGTTCTACACTCCTCAAAAGCTCCCAATCAGAGATCTTGCTGCTGGATGTAGTTTGTCGTCATACCCAGGGCTACTTAGATAAAGGCAGTTGTTTGTAGTGAGGGGTTTAATTATGTTTCTCTCAAGGACAAATTTGTGCTTGAACAGCAAGTGACCTTTTGAAATTAAAATCTTTCTTTTGATTTTTTTTTTTTAATCTTATCTTAAGGAATTTATTGCAGACTGAGAGGACCCAGACTGTGTTTAGTATCCGAGAATGAAACAGAAGGTAGTTTTTTATAGTGATGGGTTAGTTTGATGAGCTAATGATTTGTTGAGGACATTTCAGTATTATTAAGAGAGACCATGTCTATGTCTTCTTATACCTATCTCGGAATGGTCATGGATTGAAAGGTACAGAGTGCAGTATTAAAAAATTTATGTACTCCAGCTAGCATATATTATATTTTTCATCATACTTTTATGATAAATAATACTATGTCAGTTAATTACAAACTCTGAAATTTTATTTACTATTTATTTATTTTTTCCTCAATAAAAGTAGATAGGTTCACCTATTGCCCAATTCACACTCCTTTTTAGTCTCTTGACCAGGAATAGTGGTTTATCCCTTGTTTCTTGTTTAGGATTGAGTTTCTAGTTCTTTCTCAAGTTTTCTCATTCTCATTTACTCCCAGTAGCCCCTTGCATCTTAGTGGCATTATTGCACTTTTGGCATGAATTGATTAAAAAAAGAAATATTGTATATGAACATTTGATAAAGATTTTAAAAACGTTTTTGATTGTGAATAGTTGGAATGTGCTAATATTTTTATATAGAAAATGTAT